GACGTAATAGTTCAGAAAACATCAAAGAAAATTGAGAAAATGGAAAGGGTTGAAAAACAGAATATAAAGATATTGTTGCAGAACCGGGAGATATTAAAATAAACATTTCTGCTTATATGGCCCCTTTAAATTTTATATGAGGATGCTCATGTGTCACAGTTTATGGGATTGAACCCAGGAATGTAAAAAAAAATTTAATAAATAAAGATAAATAAAAAGTGGCAACACAATTTGCAAAACACCAAGGAGCTGTATGAGGAGACAAGAAAACACAAGGAAGAACAGATTTGGCATGAATAATGCAAAATGCTCCACTGCTGAGTGTATGAGAACAAAGGGAATATAAAGATGGGGCTGATGAACAGGAGTGACTGCAGCTGTGGGAAACAGCAAACAGGTGTAGATGGTCGTGGCAGGCCGGGACACAGAGGAACAACTGAACATAAGAAGACAACCAAACAAAAATAATAATAATAATAAAAAAAATAGATGGTGACAGATGAAGACTACAAAAGCCTGACATATTTTTTTTTACCTACATGTCCATGAAAATGTAGTTTGGGGGAGCTGATTGCAAAGAAACATGGCGGTTAAAGCCAGTTAACCTTTGCAGAACAGCAATAAGCTCAAAAATATGCACGCCGGCATCTTTCACTTGATGTGTGGTAAAATGACTTTTGTATTAGGATAAAAGAAAAAAGCCAAGCATCATGCAGAGCTTGGAAAGAAATTAAAACTGATCACCAGAAATATTTATATTCATATTTATAATCATGCATTTATAATTATTTCTGCTGTGAACCGTTTTTATAATTTATTTATAAATAGAAGACTGTGCAGCTGTGCATGCAAAGAGTTATTAATTCAATTGAGAGTCCCAGGCACAGCTTCTCAGGTTAGAGAGGCTCCAAATAATTTTCTTTCTACACRTTTATCAACAAAGTGCAGACAGCACAACCTCACCTGTAGCCTACAGTAGCACAATACTGCGATGATAAGGAGTAATATAACCGTAGCAAGAATTCCACCAGTGATGACCACTGTCCCGGCTGTCATTCGAATGGCTCTCCATCAACACCCTGCAAAGGAGGAAGAGGAGGAGGAAGAGAACAAGGAAGGGGAAAGAAAAGAGGAAATAGGAGCACACTTCATCAGACCAGCAGCTTYATTAAGTAGATTATAACTGTGTGTCATCTCACTGGTGCTTATTGAATTATCCAGCAGCTTGCAGGCATGTAATAGAATCATCTGAAAAAGTGTGATTCATGTTACAGACGGGGTCTCAGGGCGTGCGGGGAGGGGAAAATCACCGATCAGCTACAGGACGGCTGTAAAGATGAGACGCTGGTCTGACAGGAGAGCAGAGAGGTAAAAGAGATGGATGGAAGGAAGCAACAAGGAGGAGGTGGTGGGGGGGAAACAAGAGCAGGCGGTGCATGAGAATGAAGCAGAGTGGGTGGGAGTGAGTGGGAATATAGATGAGACGACGGAAAAGGGAAATAGTTGACAAAAAATAAAAGAACAAGAAAAGAGACAATATCAACGTTTTGATTTGTGTTTTGCCAGACTTCAAGATTTTCAAGGCCACGATAAAACATCAACGTYATCTGACTCAATGCTTCAATAAGGCAAAGAAACGTGTATTAAATAAAATAATAATAATGTACAAAATAAAAAAAAGATGACGGTTAAACGGTTTGCATTACCCAGCAGRAAATAATCAGGAGTAGAAAAAAGAAATACCAAGATTTAAAATTGAAAAACAGCATATTTAAGGGTTGATCTGTGTAAACTGATCTTATTCTCACAGTTAGTGTTCATTTTGACACAATATAATTAGGTTTATTAATAAAAATTTACAATTATATAGTTTTAATTGGTTCATATGAAGAATAATTTCTAATTTTCTTTATTTCTTCTTCTATCTGAACGTGTTCCAGGACCACATCTTTGCATTGTAGAGAATTTTCTAAACCAAAAATAGACCAGCAGGCTTGTTGCTGAGCTACGACTCAACACACACACACACACACACACACACACACACACACACACACACACACAC